CAGTTTGGCGAATTAACCCTTTCAAGTAAGGTGCAGGTCAAATATGGAGAGCACAACACAAAACACATAAAAAAGACATAGGGGTCCATTCACTAAAGGTTATCATATGCGAATGGAACTTCAAGTAGCTCATTTTTTGGAAATATCACATGAGATAATAAAATAGTCAATTAATCAAAGTAAAATATTGAATGTGAGGTAAATACTATGAATGTGAGGTAAATACTACACATTTGTTAACCACTTGCCCCAGGATTTATCCCCCTTCCTGACCAGGCCATTTTTTTGCGATACGGCGCTGTGTTACTTTCACACTGACAATTGCGCGCCCATGCAACGCTGCACCCAAATTAACTTTATGTTCTTTTTTTTCCCACAAATAGAGCATTCTTTCAGTGCTATTTGATTACCTGTGCGTTTTTTTATTTTTTTGCTCTATAAACAAAAAAAAAAAAGACAAGAAAGGAAAAACAGTATTTTTTACTATAAAACATATGCTGTAAAAAAAAATTTTAAAATCTAATTTTGTCATAAATTTAGGCCAAAAAAAACCCAATACATGTCAATTAATTGGTTTACGCGAAAGTTATAGCGTCTACAAATGGCGGTATATATACTGGAATTTTTGTTTAAATTTTTTTTTTATACTATTAATGGCGAGGATCAGTGACTTATAGCAGGACTGTGGGACTGCGGCGGGCATTCTGACACTGGGGGGGAACTGACTAACTGCCAATGACATCCCCAGTGACACTAATACAGTGATCAGTGCTAATAAAAAGCACTGACACTGTACTAATAGCATTGGACAGGAAGGGGTTAACATCTGGGGTGATCAAAGGGTTAACTGTGTGCTGTTTTACGCTGTGTGTGGTTCACTATGGAAACATGCTGCTGTGTATTTCTCTGCTGTGCAGAGAAATACACAGCAGCATGTTATTGCTGGCAGGAGAGAGACCTGTATTGTTTACACAGAGGTCTCTCCCCTGTCACTGTTCCTCAGCAATCTCCTTGTGCCGGCAGGGAATCTCTAGGCGGGACCTAGTGATCGACATCTGTTGCTGCCAATTTCCCTACCTGGAAATGCAAGATCACGTATATATACGTGATTTTGCGCAGCCCTGCCGCCCTGTAGCAGTAGTTCTGCTATAGGGCGGCGAAGAACCAATAGTGCGATATATACCACAGAAAAACAAGATAAATTATTAAAGTCAATTTACTAAAAAACACACACATTGTTATTTATCTGCTGGTGTTCGCTGGCAATATTTTAGAAATGTACAAAATAATAATTAGGCCTCAGGCACACAGGGTGTTTTTCCTGCCGCTTTTAGGAGCGTCAGGCATTTTTTTTTTACTGCTTCCAAACACCCCTCTGTGTTATTCTATGTGTTCATGCACACTATGGCTTTTAGAAGCTTTTAATGGCAGGTGAGTTTAGAGACAGTAAAAAAAAATGCAGGGTCAGTGCGTCCTGAAGCAGCAGCATTTTGGAAGACAAAAAACACTTGACATACTTAAGACTGGGTTCACACCAATGTGGTGCAGGACACCACATGTAATTCGCACAGGAATCGCACCGCATTCCTGTGCGAATTACATGCAATATCTGTGTGGTGTGATTTGAGCCATATGACTCAAATTGCTTCCGCACCAAAAAGGCGCAGGTCCCTATTTTTTACCGCATCAGAATTGCATTGCAAGGGTGTTCTCATCCATGTGATGCGATTTCTGGCAATTGCATCGCGTTTTGCAATCTCTTTCTGGGTGTCATTAATTAAATATTGACCCCCGCACTAGATCGCATGAATGACATGAGCTTGCAATACGGTGTGGGAAACGCACAGGATTAGCAGCGTTTCCCACACCGCATCAGTGTGAACCTGGTCTAAATGTCAGCAAACACGCATAAACGTGTCTAAACACTAGCCGCTTTTAGCGTTTAAGAGTTATTTCAATGGTCAGAATAAATTATTTATTCTGGCCAATGAAATTAATTAACACTCAAACACTTGACGTGGGCCAAAATGCTGCTCCCAGGAGGAGGCTTCTTGGGGAGTTAAACAAAAAGTCAGTGTGCATGAGGCCTTGGAACTCTTCACTGGCCATGAAGCAAAAATTCTACAATGTATAAAAGTGAAAATGTTCCCGTGAGCTCAGGAATGTAACATTTTATCAGAGGGACATCATTTTGTGAATGAAAGCACACTAGAAGTTTTCATAGATTCAATATACAGGCGTACCTCGATTTAAGAATTTAATTCATTCTGCGGGACTTTTCGTATTTACAAACTTTATAACAAAAACTAAGAAAAAACTTTTTTTTTCAAAATTTTCAGTGATTTTTGGTTTGTTTAGCAAAAAATAAAAACCCAGAGGTGATTAAATACCACCAAAATAAAGCTCTATCTGTCTAATAAAAATGATACAAATTTCATATGGGTACAGTGTTGCATGACCGCGTAATTGTCATTCAAAGTTCAACAGCACTGAAAGCTGAAAATTGGCCTGGGCAGGAAGGGGGTATAAGTGCCCTGTAGGTAAGTGGTTAAAGGCATAGTACGGTACAGGGTCAGGATTAAAAAAAAAATCATAAATGCATTAAAAACCAATTAATCTGTTCATATTGCGCAAAACATATGTAAACCGAGGCATTATTTTCAATGGATTTTCATTCGTAAACTGAAAATTACATTAACCGAGGCATTCGTAAATCGAGATATGTCTGTATTGCTGTGTGCCTTTTGGTGCAGTATTAGGCTACTTTCACACTGATCCACTGCAAAAACACGGCAAATATGCATTTTTACCGAGTTTTTGGGGCGTTTTTTAGAGGACACGTAACATAAAAACTGCACCAAAAATGCTTCTCAAAGGCATTTTTGAGGCGCTTTTCAGGCGTTTTTCACGTGTTTTCCATTGATTTCAATGGAAAGAGGCATTTTTGGGGTCTTTTTTTAACTGAACAAATATGCTCCAAAGATGCTGTAAGCCGTTGTTTTTACATCACAATGGAAGCGCAACATTCCAGTGTGAAAAACATAGTACATAGGCATACATACATACATAGGCATTATGGTTGAACTGGATGTACTTTTTGTCTTTTTTCAGCCAGGCTAACTATGTAACTATGCAACTATGTAACATACAATATACATAGGGAAGCACTTTTCATAAACTTTTCAGGAGCTTTTTTTAACGCTGCTTCAAAAACTCCTCAGTGTGAAAGTAGCTGTAGCCTGCAAAAAAAACTGTGAAAAAACACCAAAAATAACACAAAAATGTAATCACTAAATATTGTAAATCATAAGTATTTATTTTGTTGGAGAAGTTGTGGAGAAAGGGGTAGCATGAAGCATGTATGATGGAGTTGCCTGAAACTGAAGTGTTGCTGGAGGGAAATAGCATTATATACCCAAGACATATGTGGGGTAGACATTCAAGGAAACCCGTGGAAATGTCTATTCTATCAGCCTGAGCCTGTTTCGGTACTACGTAAAAATAAAGCTTTGTATCATCTGTTAAGTGCTGCAAAGGGTCTGATCCCCAAATATTGGTGACACTGTACTGCTAGGGTGACAGTATGTAAAAAAAAAATAATAAATAAAAAAAATAATATAAAAAAAAAGTAAAAAAAAAAGTTTAAAAATTATAATTTTTGGTTATAAACTAATTTGGGTTATTTTTCTTTTACTAAAAATATAATGGAAACATTTTTGGACATTTTAATTTACATTGTTTGTATAATGATTAAAAAAATAAAAATTTAAATTAAAAAAACAAACATAAATATTTAATTATTTGGTAAAAAATGCACGATTTTACTGAATTGTCATCTAAGATATGTACGGTGATTTGCTGATTCCTCCTATCCATGTCTGCGTTACGCTTTCATTTGCACTGAGCAGAAAGCAAAATAATGTTCCATCATTTTTGGTCCATTAGCAAAATATAAAACCTAACCCAGGCAATGTACGGCTTTTCCGGGGGTTGGGAAAACTAGCTTTTGCGTGCAATATAATATCGTCTAACCATGAATCCTGTTCCATCAGCAGTTAGAATATTACCTTTAGAATGCTAATTTGTTAACTGTAAATTAAGGACGAAATGCTGCTGAAGCTTGAAATCAAATAAAAAAAAAGTTAAATAAATGGAGGTTAGGCAATACAACACCCCACTTTTTGAATGCGCCCCACCACCACCACCACCACCACACTGCTCCCTATAGTGCAGCATGCATTTTAGCACGGATTGCCAGTTAGCTAACATTTTCTCTGCTTGGCAAAGGCATTAGAAAAGCTTGTTCCCTCTATGCAATTTGTGAGGAATAAGCTGACCTTATTCAATAAAAAAGCCCATGTGCATAATGACTAATAATATCCCAACTTATATTGCTCTGGGTTCAGTAATGCAACTTTAGAAAATAAAGTTAGGACCAGATTCATACCTATGTGTTGTGGTAAGTGGGTCACCTTAACCTCCCTAGCGGTCTGATTATGTCCATATGTCTGTGCTCAAAGCGGTACATTTTTTTGCATGGAAATATGTTGTTTTTTTACTGTAGGCCTGTAATTTTTAGGAATAACTCACTGAAATCTGTCCGAACAAGAGTCTAGTAAGCATCCCGGGTAGGATAAAATGTGAAACACGAAATCATGAATTATAATTTAATAAATAATCCTAAAAAATAATTATATAATAATAATACATTTAATTAAATAATATAATCAAACCAAAAACACTGAAATTTGAAATATAGCGCCAAGTTCGCACATCACTGAGCAAAGTCGCAAAATCATTTTCAGTGTCTGATGACGAATTTCCCCATTATCACTCAATTCTGCAAGTAGTTCTAATTTACTATCGCTGTTCTCTAGCTGGTCTAAAACCGCTTTTGACCTAAAGGGACACTTTTTGGACGCCATGGACATTTCTCAGTTTCCAGGCAGAAAGAACAGTAAAAATGCAGGCAGGGCACAGGACAAAGCACTCGGGACAAAATGTATGTGAAATGCTTTGATACAGTAATGTTTTACTATGTGATATTAGTGATTTTAGTGAATGTCACTTTTTGTCATTTTCAAATTTCCTGCCGTTCCGTCCCCCGTACGTCCCGACGCTCGCAGGGGACGGAACCCAGATGACAGATGCCGGCATCCGCCGGAGGACATTGCCAGGGACACTGCAGGAGGGACATCACGGGAGCACAGGACAAGGTAAGTGAAGAACAGATCCTGGAGCAGCGCCGCATGGTAAGCCCGAGTGTAGCTCAGGGTTACTGCTTGTGGTACTGAAACTTTACCCCGAGCTACAGTCGGGAATACCGCCGGGGAGGCTAAAGTGGTTCTAAAGGCTCAAGATTTTTTACCTTCATGCATTCTATTTTTCTTGTGAGTTATGTGTCCAATCTACCACCCGTGATAATAACACTGACATATAATACTTCCTCATATTTGGCAGATTTAATCCTCCTCTCTCTTTGTTGTTACATAAAACCTCATACTTAATTCTTGGTTTCTTATTAGCCCATAGTATCAATTTTCTTATTATCCTAAAAAAAGATCCTGGTAAATATATTGGGAGCATTTGAAATTTATACAGGATTTTTGGGACTATCACCATGTTAACCAGATTAATACATCCAATCCACGAGACCCGCCCTATTGAGAGTCTTCTCAACTCATCTTTAATTTCCTTTATTAATGGGATATAGTTAATTTGATATAAATTCTTTATTGAGGGGGTTAACTTTATTCCCAAGTAGCTTAATTCCCTCTCCCTCCATGTAAATGGAAAGTCTTTTTGCAGGGTCTGCATCTCTACCTTTGAAACATTTATATTTAAGATCTCAGATTTTTAAAGGTTTATTTTCAGGTTTGATAGCTCCCCGTAGCGTTTTAATAATCACATTAAATTAGACAAAGTTAGTTGAATGACAATTGCGCAGTCATGCAACACTGTACCCATATGAATTTTTTATAATTTTTGTTCATGCAAATAGAGCTTTCTTTTGGAGGTATTTAATCACCACTGACTGTTTTATTTTTTGCTAAACAAAAACGGAAATTAAAAAAAAGTTTTTCTTAGATTCTATTATAAAATTTTGCAAACAGGTATTTTTTCTCCTTCGCTGATATGTGTTGATAAGGCTGCCCTGATGGGTGCTGATAGGCAGCACAGATGGGCACTGATGAGGCAGCACTGTGGGTATCAATGAGGGGGCACTGATAGGCTGCAATGATGGGCACTGATAGGCGGCACTGATGAGCACTAATAGGCAGCACTGATAGGTGGCACTGACTGGCGGCACTTTTAAGCGCAGATTGTCAGCACTAATGGGCACAGATTGGCAGCACTGTTGGGCACTTTTGGGCTGCACTGATAATCAGTGCCCTGATTATCAGTGTAGAGGTTTCCTTTCACATTTGCCAGTTATCGGGAGTAGTTTACTCATGCTGTAACAGTGTGAGGAAAGTAACTGTCAAGTGTATTTACATGGTGATCAGCTATGATTGAATATAGCTAATCACGTGTTAAAAGGCTGCTGTGATTGGCCCTTTACCAGGGGCGGACTGACAACTCATGGGGCCCCCAGGCAATAGGAAATCATTGGGCCCCTGTATCCTCGCCAACACTCAGACCACACCCAAAAAAGCCTGTGAAAGGTATCAGGGGCATCTCATGGGGCCCCCTACTGACCCCGGCCCCTCGGGCAGTGCCCGAGTCCCCGAATGGTCAGTCCGCCCCTGCCCTTTACCATGTCATGTGATCAGCTATGTCCACAGGACACAGAGAGCGCTTGTTGCACACCACTGGGGGCACGGGTTCTGGGAGGACATGACGTCCTCCCAGACCTGGACGACCACGCTGTAGCCGCCATTCAGCTATAGCGCAGTCAACAAGTGGTTAAGCAAAATGGGTCAGAATTTGTGACAGCTGGGCAAAAACTGGTGACATTCATCTAACAAATAATACATAGACTCCTATGCAGTGCAGCAGTGCCATGCAGTGTGGTCACCTACGCTGTCTACAAATGCAGTGCAGACCACCTGAACGCAGATTTGTGCTGTGAAGGAGGCACATAGAAGACAATTCTTTTCTATTGACCCCAGTGCTGACTTAGGGCTCATGTACACGGGGCGTTTGGAAAACTCTTCTGAACAATGGAAACTGACTGCTGGAAAACATAGGTTAAAAAACGTCTGTTTAGCTGCATTTGCATGGCATGTTTATGAGCGTTTGCGTTTAGAAGCGTTTTTAAAAGATAACCTCAGGTGACCTTCCAAAATGCTCAGAATGCACTGAAAAACAGTACAAAATTAACTATTTCAGATATTTTGAGAGAAATAGAGAGAGCAGAAGCACAGAGAGCAGTATGTGTTGAGATGACCAGGGGTGTATTCACCACAAGGCCAACAAGGCATTTGCCTAGGGCGGCATTTTTTAGGGGGGCAGCAGAAGAAGGGACAAAAGAAAGGACACACGTGGTATAAGGACCAGGTGGGATCCATAAGAGGCTGCAGGCTGCTTGATTGTGTATGCAGAACTCTTGTTCCCGAGGATGTCCAGAGCTGTGAAGATGTCTCTCTCGCTGGGTGGGGGGGAGGGGGGCGACATGGTAGCCAGCCGGTGTATGGGGGAGTGGTGGAAGGCTCTCTCAGCCAGGGGGGTGGGGGTTGGTTGGTGTGGTCAGTGTCAGACTCTCTCCGCAGTGGATGGGGGGGATTTTTGTGTTGCCTAGGGTAGCACAAAACCTAAATACACCACTGGAGATGACCTGTCTTTTCTGGTTGTATTCACTATGGATCTCAATCATGAGCATAATGCAGCACATTCTACCATTTGTCCTTCACGTGAAACCTGGAACTGACTGCGCTGGTGTACCCAGGGGCGTATTTACCACAAGGCAAACAAGGCAGTTGCCTAGGGTGGCATTTTTCAAGGGGGAAGCACTGCCTCTTTGAAGAAGGGACACTTGCGGCATGGGGACCAGGTAGGAGCCGAGAGAGGCTGCAGACTGCTTGATGGTGTATGCAGAACCTGACTGTCATTCCCATGGATGTCCAGATCTGCAAAAGGAGATTGACTTTCTTTCCGGGTGGGGCAGGGATGTTGTTGTTCAATGTTAGGCTCTCTCTCTGTGGGGGGGGGGGTCTGATTATCGTGTTGCCTAGGGCAGCACAAATCCTAAATACACCACTGGGTCCATTTGAGTACCTGGATAGCGGTTTGCATGCATTTCTGATGATGAAAAAAGGCTCCGGACAACATCTGGACATGGAACAGTTAAAAAACGCTTCTAAACGCAAATGCTTATAAACGCAGTTAACCACGTTTACAAGCATTTGGCGTTTGAATCGCTGATAAAATCTACTCCTGAACGCAAGTTTGGTGCATTCAAAAAAAGGACTGTAAACTCAAATGCCTGTAAAGGACTGTAAATGATGATGTGTACATGGACACATAGGAAAACATTAAGGGGAGTTCAGGGGCTGCTGAAAAAAATGCTGAACAGCTCCTAAACGTGCGTTTCTCATCTGCAGTGTACATGAGCCCTTGTGAAGACCAATGCAGGTGAACAGTGAAGGGAACACAGTGACAGATGACATGATAAAGTGATGAATGACACCAATACCCAGCATGCACCACACAGTAAAGGGGAATAAATGCAGACCTTTCTCCGATTATTTGTGACATCTAATCCTGTGCTGTCACATGACCTCTCCCGAGCTGTCATCACATTTCAGGGAGATTTCACAGCATTCCTCCTGTTTTGCACATTCTATATTTGTCTTCTATATAGAGCCCATTCCCCTGCAGTGACAATGACATGACTCACTCATCAGATTCCACTACTCCCCCCTCATTCCCCGTCCTGTGTCCCCGCGATCACACCGCCCCCCTTCTCTGTACTCACATGCTGCTCTGCTGCTGCCGCGGGTCCCGGCTGCCGGTCTCCCTGGTAACGGTATAAACATTGAGAGTCGCCTAGTGATAAGGGGCGTGGCCAGACAGGCGCACACCTTGTAATCCTACATAGGAAGAGACGGTGCCATTGCTGTCCTCCTGACACTGACACCAACCTTCTCCTGGCAATGCTGCCTGGCGGTGTTCGCCAATAAGGAAAGAAAAGTCGCTGTAAAGTCACAAGTCTTCACCTGAATTCTGCTCCAGGGGCTGTGTTCACACATCGGCATCCTGGCGTCTTCTGATAACAGGCGGTTTTCCAAGCCATAACATGTATTGTGCACACACGATCCTCTGATAATCTGATCGCATAGCTCACAACTGTCCCTGATATCTAGGGATTTCCCCTCATAGGGAACAAAGTTCCTCTGTCCCACCTTCCTCCTCATTTTGATCTGATCTATATAGTATATAAAATGCACTATTTATCCTTCAAGAAGTGTTTACCACTGTTAAACCATCCAGTTTATAAAATGCTGCATTTGTCAATTCCAAAAGCCAATATAAAGGAATAGCAATGGTAAAAGCTGGTGAGTTTGGGAGCAATTACAAAATACAGGTGTGTGTAACTTGCAAGCCAAACAAAAAAAACAGAGATCACTAACAACACATACTCCAACTGTGCAATTTAAACCATGTATCTATAAATGTTGCGCTCCTATTATCCAACTATATAAAGTGTGTGCAATATACTATTATGTATACAAACTGACAAAAAATGTTCAATATATCAATAAAGTGATCATAATAAAAAACAAAAAAATAAATCCATTATCCAAAAAAAGTCTAAATTTGTGATAAAGTGATTAAAACATAATACAGTGACTTTCCGTGAATCCTTCAGTGAAAATAGATGTGCGCTCACCTCCTTCTAAGCCTATTATACAGGCTTAATAAGCTTTTGGTTCACATATCCTGGAACCTACTAGGATTGCTGCAGTATATGATGGATGTTGGGTACTTCTTGCAAACACCTTTCCCCTTTAAATGCTGTATATCTCTGCAAGGATTTCTCCCTCCTTCAGCTGCTTTGAATCACTAGCACAATCCTCCTTATATGTTCCTCAGTGTGAAACGAGACAATAGGAACATAGTGCTTTATCCTTAAAACAGACTTTATTTTATTCCACAAATCTTAATCAATGCACTCACATTGTTAAAATCAAAAAAAACGCTTTCCCTGAAGGAGGGAGAAATCCTTGCAGAGATATACAGAGTTTAAAGGGGAAAGGTGTTTGCAAGAAGTACCCAACATCCATCATATACTGCATTAATCCTAGTTTACCCTTTAAGGGGGCATGGCAGGGGGTGTGTCCTATGCCTACATACTTTTGCTAATAGGTGTCCCTCATTCTCAGAAAGTTGGGCG